GGTTGGGTGCATGAGACAAGTGCTCGGGCCTGGTGCACTGGGAAGACCCAGAGGGATTGGGTGGAGAGGGAGGTGGGAGGGGGGACCGGGATGGGGAATACATGTAAAAAAAAAAAAAAAAAAAAAAAGATACACTATGGTTGTGAAAAAAAAAAAATAAAATAAAATAAAATAAGAATATCACAATATGGGTGAAATTTGAAAATACAATGCTAAGTGAAATAAGTCAGACATAAAAAGATAAGCATTGTATCATTCCACTTATATGAGAGTACTAGAATATGGAGATGATAGAGACAGAAAGTTGAACAGTGGCTGCTAGGGGCTGGGGGGAGAGGGAGGGGAAGGTTGTCTCTCATGGGTACCATTTCGGTTTGGGAGGATGGTGGTGGCATAACAATGTGAATGTATGTGACTTATTAAACTGTATACTTAAAAGTGATCAAAAGTAAAAAATTCTATGTGTATTTTTGCACAATGAAAAGAGAGGTATGCCCAACAGAGAGTGAGGAAAATAAATTGATAAGTTGTATTATTAAAAAACGGGGGGACTCATTTCTGTTCTGAAGGTTGTTGTAACTCTTGCGTGAGAAAATGCATGAACACCTCTGACTTAATACAGGCCCTGGCATGGACCAAACTGTCAGCAGAGGGTGGTTCTGCCCAAGCGCTCCTTCCTGCACACAGCAGCAGGTCACAGGGCATGCTGAGCCGGGGGGGCATCATATGCCAAGGCTCTGGCTCATGTGGCCCAGACTTGATCAGATCAGCAAAAGTCTCAGTTCTCATGGGGTGCCGTCCAACTGTGCAGTGGCCACCCCACTTGCTCCAGTTCTTCCAGAAGAGGCTATCTCAAGTTCTGTAGGATTCTCCCTGCTCCCTGCTCTTGCCAGAGAAAATAAGGCTCCACAACAGCATTGCCCTCTCCAAGCCGGCCCTGAGGGAGTTGAGAATGCTACCGGGCAACATAGTGGAGGACAAGAGAGAGAGGAACCTTGCCCTGGGGGCCCCTGCGTACATCTGGCTCCTTCCGAGCTTCTCAGTCATCCCACCCACCATGCAGGTCTTGAGCTGCTATTAAGACCTCACCTCACCTGCCTGTTCTGAAGCCTTCTCTTCCTTCCCTCCCCTTTGAATCATCTACCTTCTATACATAACTCAGCAAATTGTTGATGTTTTACAAAATACATGCTCAGACATTCTTTTAAAGAAAACCCCCACAGTTGCAAACAGTAAGAACTAAGACTGTTACATCAAATTAAACTTAATGACAAAAGAGCCTCTTCGTTTTCCCTTGGATTTATTTTAATATTGATGAAGCAAATATAATTTTGATTTCTAATTAGTTTTAGCTCCCACTGATACTAAGTCACTTTGTTTAAGGTTTAAATGTTACAAAGAATAATTAAAGGCTTTCCTTGTCCTATTTATTTTAGTCTTTGTTACCAAACCGTACTGGCAAAAAAATAAGACTAGCTTCATTTAATGTTTATTTTTAAAATGTTCATGAATCAAAAATTGACTTTTCTTTGAAAAGGTAACAAAGTCACTCATCTGTGGGGCGGGGATTGGTGGGCAGCCCAGCAGGCTCAGTTTTCCTATCTTTACCTTTTTTCATTTCATCAAAGGTCTTTAAACTGTGGTGCTGGATAAGACTCGAGAGTCCCTTGAACTGCAAGGAGATCAAACCAGTTAATCTTAAAGGAAATCAACCCTGAATACTCATTGGAAGGACTGATGCTGAAGTTAAAGCTGAAATACTTAGGCCACCGGATGTGAAGAGCTGACTCATTGGAAAAGACCCTGATGCTGGGAAGGATTGAGGGCAGGAGGAGAAGGGGGTGACAGAGGATGAGATAGTCAGATAACATCATGAACTCAATGGACAGGAGTTTGAGCAAGCTCTGGGAGATGGTGAGGGACAGGGAAACCTGGCGTGCTGCAGTCCAGGGAGTCATGAAGAGTCAGACACGACTTGGCAAATGAACAACAACAAATGGTCTTCACTTCTGTCTCATAACTGTAAGGGCACAAAATCTCATGCTGTTGAAAGCCTTGAGGAGAGCTCAGAAAAACACTTAATCACTTAGACTGCAGCTATAGGATATTAAAACAACCAGTCAGTCTTACACAAAAAGCAAACCACCACCAACAGCAAATATATCAGTATGGTGGGAAGAAAAATAAGGGTTAACACTAAATGCCTGAATTTACAACCTATTGTTTTGAAATACCCAGACACAACACAAGTGACCTTTGAAAAAGAACTTAAGTCATGAAAAGATATATTGGGAGGATTTGGAATATCAATTTTATATATACACAAATAATAAACAGGTCATTTTAGAAAAGTAAACACTACAGATAAATGAAAAAAAGATCAAATAACTTAGAATTTCACCTTCCAGAATTAACTAATGCTATAGACTCTAATCCTATTCTATTCCTCTGTATCTCTCTCCATAGACAGATGAGTGTGAATGTATGTAGTGTGTGAATGTGTACATACTGGCATCAAATGTACATGTTACAAGTCAGGGTTACAAAGGAAAAAGGAAGAAAAGAAATGTTCTTTCTTCCCTACAGATGATCATTCTCAAGGCTACATCTTGCCCCTGGGGACAAGTCTCCCAATGTCAGTGGCCTCTTAATTGCAACACCAGTGTTCTCAGACCCCTACCCATCTGGTCCTTTCTTCAGTCCCTGCCAAGGCTCAACTAGAGGGCAGGAGGTGAGGACATCTCCTCCTGTCTCCCTTCTAAGTTTATATATTGAAGCTGTAACTCCCAGTGGGTTGGCACTAGGAGGTGGGGCATTTGGGAGACAATTAAGTTTAATGAGGTCATGAGGATGGGGCCCCCATGATGGGATCAGAGTTCTTATAAGAAGGAGAGAGACCAGAACTCTCTCTCTCTCCCCCAGGCACGTAAGGACAGAGTTGGAAGAACAGATATCTAGGAACCAGGAAGTAGACCCACGTCAGGAACCCAATCTACTGCCACCTTGATTTTGGGTTCCCAGCCTCCAGGCCTGTGAGAAATAAATGTCTGTTGATTAAGCCACCCAGCTTGTAGTGTTTTGTTATACAACCTGGGCTAAGACAACTCCAGATGCTACCTGTACAACTCAGCAATTTGTTCACGTCCCCATGCCTGGGGTTAATCTGTGAAGCAGTGATAATCCTACCGAACTTTTGAGTTGTTAGAGGATTAACTGAGATCATATGCTAGAGGCTTTGTATCTCTACCAGGAACAAAATAGAACTGAACAAACACTACCTCCCACAGCCACGCATTTTCCACCTGGAGAAATAGACCCAATGTAGTTAAAGTCTGTGTTCCCTTTCTCAGGAATTAACTGAATTGCCAAGGAGAGCCTCAGCACTGAACCATAAAGAGAACAGACCATTTTGTCTGAGTTTAGAGTGTCGGTGTGTGGGGGGCGCCTTTTAAGGCCCACCCATCCACCCCACCCCGCAAATCACTCTTTAAGAAATGCCACTGTCCCTGTGAGAGGCAAAAGTACTGTGTAAACAGGAGGCTTGATCGGCTCTATCACTTTACTCTTTATTTACCACTAGCAGGTCCATAGGTTTCAAACCCACGTGTTTTAAAACTTCGACTTGAGAACAGCCTCTTAACCCCTCCTCAAAACAAATGGCATGTATCCATGTGCAAAAATACATTAATATCAACTGAGTTTTGTAAGTTTGGAGATTCTTTTATGACTCTATTTAGGATAAACTCAAAAACCATAGCTTTAAACAACAACAACCAAAAGGAATGAGTATCTCTACCTTAAATTAACATCTGAGGCAGAAAAACATTAATAGAACTGAGTCCACAACTGTTTCTCCAACACAGGTTGCAAATAATCATTGAATTGACCCAAAGGGGCCCCTTTAAGACAGGATCAGACTTTCTTTGTTTTTTTGCCAAGGTCAAACCCACTCATACTGGCTCCACAACTTCAGGCAAGGAAGCTCTACATTCTAGCTCTTCTGGATTTCGCCTGAATTAAGTTAGGTGTCAATTTTCACAAAAAGTGTGCTGCTGGGCTGTATTTTTAAAAATATCTTCTCCAGGAGACTCCTAAACCGTCTCCCCAATGGGTAATATGCCAGGAAATTGCAGGACCACAAACACCTTCTTCCCTCTGGATCCCCAATTTACCTGAAGTAATGGTCAATTGCTCAAAAACATCAGCAGTGAGTCAGACTCAGCGATCAATAGAACAGAGCCCCGAGGTATTAAATAGAGAGATAACCTAAAGGTAAAGTTTAAGCAGCCCCAGCTGACAAGCTAATCAGGCATTTTCAGAGCTGGGTGATGGTATTTTTTCTAGGGTGTCAGGAGCTCAGTAAAGAGCTTCCTGGTGCAGACTGAACAGGACAATTGATCCAAATTGCCTTCTGCTCTGAACAACCAATTCTTCAGATCTGTGGCCCTAAAGCCCACAATGCAAGATCTGTGCCTACTGGCAAAGGAAACGTAGCTTGATTGGGTTTTGATGTGCTCTGGAACTGAGTTCTGTCCTGGTTCTGCTGTGCCCAGAGGCTCTTGGGTCCCTTCTGTGGACCTCAATTTCCTCCTCTGTAAAATGCAGATTTGCATTAGTCAGGGCCCCACATCTGCCCAAGTTCAAGACCCAGCAGAGAGACTGTTCAACAGAGAGATCCCACCCACTAGAGGCAGAGTCCAGGCCAGGCCTCACAGATGGCTTTGCTCTGCCCAGAGTTTAGGAAAACACTGGATTTGGAACTTACTGCGTCTTCCCTAGTTCTCAGATTTCTGATTTAAAGACGTAAAACTACTCTGGGGAGGAGTAGCTTTTCTTTAACATGTTAAGATGTCTTTACCATGTCATAGGAAGAGCAGGCCAGCAATGGGTACCAGGATCTTAGGATGCTGACTCCCAAGATGGTTTTAATACCATTGGCCTCGTCACATGAAGGTGCACACATGTCTCCTTCATCTGCTCTGATAGCTCCCCTTAACACCATGCTCGTCCTTCCTTCAGCGGGGAGGCGGGGGGTGGGGTTTGGCTTCCAGGTAAGCTGGACTCACATTCATGAGGGTAACAGGCAGAGAGGCCAGGGGTCTCCCAACAGAGGAAATAGGCTGCAAGTGTCAGACATTTTTTTATCCCTCCCTTAGGTGACAGGAAGAAACAAACTCCCCATGGAAATGTTTTCCTTGAGCTGTGTTAGTGAAACTATGTATTTGCTTAGGAACTTGCCTTTCTTCAAAATGGTTCCACCTAAAACTAACTTTTTTTCTTTTCTCAAACCTTGAGCTGATAATAGCTCAACAAACCAGCGTTCATATCAATTGTTTTATGGCTGGGGGATGACATACCTTATGCCATCCTACCTCAAAAACGCCTATTGTGGGAGAGGGGCCGGGTGAAACTCCTTCAGCCTTGAGGTGTCTGACCTATCTGATTAATACCTTTCTAACAGACATAAAACAGCTTGCTAAAACTAGCAAGGGGGACACTCCGTCCCCCTTCTGATGTCTATGTCAGAAGCTTTCTCTGTCCCTTTTTCACTTTAATAAAACTCTGCTGCACAAAAGCTCTTGAGTGAGCAAGCCTGGTCCCTGGGTCCTGCTAAATCTTCTTCGGAGATCACTGTTCACCATAAACTATCACACACACACACACACACACACACATATCAAGCCCCATTTGTGAACTTTTTTCAGCAAAGAAAAGCACAATATGCACCTAGCTTCTCTCTGCCATGTAAAAATCTAGGATGGATCTATCACTCAAAGACCAACTTTTTTCCAATGTGTTGGAACATTGTTCAACCAAGAGCTTTCGCTCCACAGCCACCCCCTTTTAATTTTCTCTCTGTAGCATCCATCAACAAGGCTGATGGTAAGTTCCTCTTACTTCGGCTCGGACTCTAATAGTGAAGGAAACACAAGAGCCAGACAAATAGTCAACTTCCAACCCAGTAAGTGATGCTGGGAGTCTGCAGAGGATTACAGAGCTCCATCCGGATATGAAAAGAGCCCTCCTTTGGGGCGGAGCCCAGGCTGCTTTGGCCCTCAAGTCATCTTCTATCGTGTCGATGGAAGTGGAAGCTGTGTGTGGCTTTGATAGTTTACTACTCTGCAGCGCAATTCGGAAAGAAAGCAGCGGCTCTAAGCAGCTTCTCTCTCCTGGCTCATCCTTTCCCCACAGAGCTCTGTTATCACTGCGTAAAATGTGTCAGGAGGGACAATTCTCTCTCCCACCCTGAAGCTGCATTATCTCATTTTCAAAATAGGCTGAGACAATGTAAGCGCAACAGCACTTACATTTAACTCTGTCAAGTAAAAAGATTACTCGAGAAACAATCAAATTCTAAAATTTCAGGCATCTTTTTGCTGCATGTATGTCCACTTCCTCTACACGGGGGAGATTATTCATGGCCCAGTGATAGCCTTTGTTTCATTTGCAGTTGAAGGGCCAAACAGCTATAATTTACAGAGGTCCCTATTGTGTAAAAATACCAGGGAAGGTGCCCCAGAGCTTCTGTCGAGCTTCTCTGGGGCAGCTTCCCGAGCTGGTGCCAGGTGGGGCCGGAGGGCAGTCACTGTGGCCAGAGAGGCCTGCGGTGCTCAGCGCTGCACGAAAATTATCAGAGATTGTTACAGACGATTGCTGTTCTCAAGGTGCTGCGTGCCCAAGCAGTTCAGGACCTTGAAAGTTTGGGCAGACATCAGAGAGAAGCACTTAAAAATCCCATTGGATGTGTGAAAACTCCAGAGGAAGGCTGGTACAGCGCTTCCATGTCCACAGAGAGTTCTTCAGGCGCCTCAGATTGTATGGGACCGATTAATCAATAGCCTTGGGAACTTTGAAAGAGAATTTCAAAATCATAAAAGACATACTAGGAGAGTTAAACTAGTTTTTGATAAAGTAGGTTTACCTGCTAGACCAAAAATTCCCTTAGATCCTAGGAAGGGTGGGGAGTCCCTCTCATACTCTATATTACTTTTGAGCGATGGCCCAGAAGGTTCAAACTGTCGTCCTCGGACACCTGTGTGATGATACATTTAACCAACTGTGGACTGCTGAAGACCAGAAGAAGCTTGAACGACGACTCCTGAAATACCCTCCTGAGGAAGGAGAGTCTCGATGCCAGCAGAAGAGAGCAGATGAACGGGGCAACAGGACAGCCAGACAGGTTGCCAGCTGAGTGCAGAAGGATTTCATAAAACTAAACGAAAAACTAAAAAAAAAAACAACTAACTAAATCTGGCCTTCCAGTCCCAAGCAGAACACCGAAGGATACACATTCTCTAAGAGTCCTCAACAAGCAGACGACGGCACTCTTTGAAAAGCACCTCTTTAACCCTTCCATTTCATGGCTGCCCATGAGCCACCAGTGTATGTGGGAGAAGATGATGGCCGACCCCATCTCCATAGCCACATGAACACTGCTGCTGAGGAGGCATCAGATGGAGACAGTATTCCTACCACATACAGGAAGTGGGGGCTTCCAGGGTGGCTCAGGAGTAAAGAATCCACCTGCCAGTGCAGGAAACGTGGCTTCAGTCCGTGGGTAGAGAAGATCCCCTGGAGGAGGAAACAGACCCACTCCAGTATTCTTCCCTGGGACATCCCATGAACAGAGGAGACTGGCTGGCTACAGTCCCTGGGGTCTTAAAGAGTCGGACATGACTTGGCCGCTAAACAACAACAACATGGGAATTTCCCTGAATATAAGGAATATTAGAGTTATTAAAGTTAAAAAAACAATAACATAGAAAAACTTCATCAAAGGCAAGCTGAAAGTGGATTTGTGCAACATGAGGGTTTCAAGTGTGATAAATGTGGAACAGAACTTATCCAGGGTGTTCAGTGGCACTGCCAGGCTTCTCCTCCAGAAATGTTTTTGGATTTCTGTGATTCTGGCTCAGACTGCCCTCATGAAACAGATACTCACTTGGAAGATCACCAACCAGAGTCTGTTTACAGGCCAGAGACATTCTTAGAGACTACAGAATGTCCCAGGGCACTAGTCATAACGACCTTGACCCAAAGTACTTTCTAGCAAACAGACAACATGGAAGAGAACATCATATACTGGTCCTCTTCAACACATAGCAATAGTACCACTGTGCCATTCACACAACTGTGAATTATGTGTGCAGTTTGGAAAGATTCTCTGAAATGACACTCACAGCACAACAGCTTCCTGAATGTTCTTGTCGAGTCCAGCTCTGCACTGTCGTGGTTCTAGATCACTGCCCAGCAGTTGAACATTCCCAAGGAGCAAAGGGTTTCCCTGGTGAAATTCTCACCACCACTTTAAAGCCTATTAGGTGGTGATCTTAAATGGGTGAGATCAAAATAAGAGCACATATTAAAAAGAGAGTAAATTCCAAAGGTTTCCGAGAATTTGGTCATAAATATGCTAATGAGAAGAAAAAGTACATTAAAACAGCTTAGTTGCTTTCGGTTTTGTGAAAATAGTTTTCAGCACAGAAACTGACTTTTTAGACCAAAGTTTAACCAATGATGGTGCTTGCCTCTAGGATATATACACTGCAAAAGAACTCACTGTCCCAGTGGTGGCCACTGATGGCCTTTAATGAATCTGAACAACTTAACCATATTGATGTCTAATTTCCTTTAACCACAATGAACTGTCCTTATTACCAACAGCAAAGCACTGCAGGAGGGAACTGCAGCATTGCCTCCTTAACCAGCTCATGGTGTGTGAACGTGATAAAATTGTCACTCACATATATTTTTTAAATGTAATGTTACAGAAGATGATCATGTGGTTTGCACAAACCATGATGAAAAGTGCCAGTGGTAATACTGTGTAGGCTCTAACTCGCAACATTAATTCCTTTAAAATACACAGCCTTCTGCTTCTATATTTGAAGTTGTCAGTGCAGCTCATTGAAGAAAACTGCCTAATAAAAAAATCGCATATGGTAATAATTTCCCTCTTTTGTAGTCTGTACAAGATCCATAAAAGATTGTATTTTTATTACTATTTAAGTAAGTGATTAAATTTAGTCTGTGCAGCGAGCAAGAGCTCATGTGCACTCTTCTATACTGCTGGATTTTGTTGTGCATCATTTAAAACATTTTGTTTCTTCTTATCTGTGTACACAGTGTGTTCTTAAATAATTTTCATTTGTCAGGAGAATGGTGAGAAATAAACCATGTGGATACTAAACCACATGTCTGTTTATATTATATTCAAAATGATAGTGAGTTAGACCCTTTGTTTCAAGAGAGCAGAGCCTGTTCTGCCTCAGGTGCTTCCAAAGCATATTTGAAATCAATAGATGGTTGGAACATGAGAGGTGATCTTCAATCCAGTTTTCATGGGTCTTTTAATATCTGTGTAATGGCAGCACCCGCTTCGCTCCATCCCCACCCCTGCCCATGTCTTCAGAGCAGAGATGGCAGAGGTGGGGGATAAGAAACACACATACACACACAGCTTGGAGTCAGCGTGACCTTAGCTTGAACCCTGGCTTTGCCACGTATCAGCTATTTGATCCTGAGAAGTTTGCTTTACCATTTTGAGCCTCAGTTTCCTCATATGTAAGAATGGAGATACTAATTCTTACTTTGTAAGCTTGCTGAGAAGCTTCAGGGTCACAACAGGGGTTAAGACATGGGGACAAGGCCTGACCTGAAAGAAGGCCAGTCCTCATCCCCCAAGCCCCCCTTTCCATGCCTGTCATTTCACATGTTGAAACTCAAATCCTTGTCTCACATCTCCAAAACACTCTTTGGATTTTCTGTCCGTTTTCCAGCAGTTTTCTTCAAGAACCTAAGCCACCGTTGGGAGGGTCATTAACTTCCCAAGGCTTTGAGGTGAACGACTGTGCAGGCAGTTGGCTGTATCTGAGAGGAGTTGTGGAGGCCTAGTTTATTACCAGGAAGGACCAAAATGTAGAGGGAACAGTGGGGCCATCTGACCTTCTGAGACTCGGAGCTTCTCTCCATTCTCAGTACCTTCAGTAAGTCATGTCTGAGTATACTACCTTCCAGACATTGCTCTAGAGGCTGGGGACATGGCAATAAACAAGGCCTGCTCGGGTCTGCTCTCCTGGATCTCATGAGCTGGTGAGCACAGACCCTTGTGGTCAGCTGGGGCTATGAGAAGTTCCACAGACTTGGGGGCCTACACAGCAAATATTTATTTCTCACGCTTCTGGGCTGGGAAATCTGAGGTCACGGTGTCAGCATGGTTGGGTTCTGGTAAGGGCCCTCCTTCTGGCTTACAGACAGTTGCCTTTTTGCTGTGTCCACAGATAGCTGAGAGAAAGAGAGATGACCTTGCTCCTGTTTTTTCTAACAAGGGCACTAATCCCATTCATGAGGGTTCCACCCTCATGACCAAATTACCTCCCAAAGAGCCCATCTCCAAATACCATCACATGGTATGAGAGCAGACCTTCAAAATATGAGTTTTGAGAGGACACAAATGTTTAATCCATAGAAGACACTTAATGATCAAACCCACAGACCAGATAACACTAGAAGTGCAATGAAGATAAAACAGGAAAAAAGAACCAAGAATGATTGGTGCGGGGTGGGGGGGGAGTCCTTTAGATAAGAGATCAGAGTAGCCATCCTGAGGACATGTGAACAGAGACAAGAAAGGTGAGAAGGAGCCAACTCCCTGAGGATCTGGGGCAGAGGGAGAGCAGTGTGGCAGCCTCGATTGCACACCTGAACCACAGAAAGGGGCCAGTGGGCTAGAGCTTGGGAGAACACAGTGTGGGCTGAGGTTGCGGAGGTAGGTGGGATGCAGAAACCTGTGTTTCGCAGGCCAGGACAAGGAATTGGGCTTTAGAATGCATCTCACCCAGAACTTCAGAAAAGACCTGAAGGGTTCAAACACCACTGAAAAAGGACACATATTTGCACATTTCATTTCTTGTGGGTCAGGATCCTTACTTTGGGTCCTATTGCCTTGCTCTTACTATCAGTGTAAGAAGGAAGCAGATGTCTTAAAGCCATACACTCCTAAGAGAACCACAAATAGACGGAATGGGGCAGTTGCCTCAGCCACTAAGTGGTAAAGACACTGCCTTAACTCATAGACAACAAGATAAATAATAAAACATTCAGAGGAACCACAACAGGAACTGAAAGGCAGGGCTCTGGGAGAGACAAAGCCTAATCTTCTTACATACTATGAAAATTTATAAGGAAAAGCATAAACCAGATAAATCTGTAACTCTTCAGGGGGAATCTGTTCTATTTTGAAAAGATGACTCTACTGCTTTGATGTGAAGAGAATGTCCATCTGGTTTCATCAGCCTCTTCTCTCCAGTCCCATCATCCTCTTTCTCTGCTTTCTCATCTTTCTCCTGTCCCAGGGCCCACTTTGTCCTTTCTCCATCTCAGACATTTAGCCTTTTCCTCAAATCCAGGCAGCAGAGACCTCCCTGGTGGTCCACTGGTTAGGACTCTGCCTCCTAACGCAGGAGGTGCAGCTTTGGTCCCTGGTCAGGAAATGAGACCCCACACAGTGTGGCCAAAAAGAGAAAGCCAGGCAGACAGTGTGGCAGGGGCTGAATTTCAGTCCTACTCACTCCCTCAGCCCTTCCTCGCTCCATCACTGAACTACCACTTTCATCTTTTCCCCCAAATCTATTACCTGAATGTCGGGGGAAGCTGAACTTCCTCCGTGTTTCCTCACTGTAAGCCTTTCCACAGGACTACCTGAATTCCACAGCATGGGCATAGTGGGAAAATGAGAGGGGGCTCTTGAGGGTTAAAGGATATTCAAGAGACTTAACAATCAAATGTAATGTGTGGATCTCATTTAGTTTCTAATTCAGACAAACCAAGGGCAAGAAGAGACATTTGGAGACAACCACAGAACTAGATTGTGAATTTTGTATTGGATGATACCACCAAGGGATTATTGTTACTAGGTGTATCATGGCATTTTTAAAAGAACATGTCCATGTTTTCACCCAACAGTTAACATTTATTACTGTTATAACAAGAAGAGGTGACAGATTTTCCCTTCCCGTGGAAGTTGCAAGTTTTAGGGTAAAGCCACACCCTGGTGACTGATGCTGCTGTGGGCTCATCCTCACTGCTCTCTGCCCAAGTATCAAGTGAATGCTTTGCCCTAAATGCGAGGCACTGCTCAAGACAGTCAGCACTATTCCAAACAGACCCCTCCTGAGAGTAACACTTTTCAAGAATGTTTTTCCACTTTCTTTAGCCCTAGATGAGCACTCAGGAACTTCCTGACATCATGGGTACCCGTAGTCGCTGGAAATCCAGCAGTTGGTTGTGGAGTATATTTCTTGCTGATTATTATAATGTTGAAACCAGTTGCATTTACTGGAAGTTTATGTATCACTCCAGGTAAGTGTGCTCTATGTTGAAGAAGTAAGTAGTATTACATTATATTCAGAATTGATCCCTGGGTCAGGAAGGTCCCCTGGAAAAGGAAATGGCAACCCACTCCAGTATTCTTTCCTGGGAAGTAACATGGACAGAGGGGCCTGGCGAAATATAGTCCATGGGGTTGCAAAAGAATCAGACATGACTTAGTGACTAAACAACAGCAACAACATAACCTTTCATGGGAGCTGGATAGACTTGTCCTTCCTAAGTTAGGCAAACTCCAGTGAAAGAAAGCACTGTATACATCATGACACCATGTGTGAGCACCTGCGTGGGAAAGAGTCTCAGCAGTGGACTCAACTCCTAAAGCCAACTGAAGTCAAACGTGTGTTTCAGAAAAAGAACCACAAACGGCCAGCAAGCATAAAGAAAGACACTCCAAAACATCCGTTAAGTCTTTAAATGCAAATTTAAAAGGCTATTATATTGGCAAAAAATAAAGTTGGATAATATCCAATATTAGTGAAGATGGGGAAGAACAAGACTCACATAGAGATCTGGACTATAATTGGTATAAGGTTTTTGGATGGAAATTCAACACCATAAAGTAACATTTCCCAAGTAGCTCAGTTGGTAAGGAACCTGCCTGCAATGCAGGAGACCCGGGTTCGATCCCTGTGTTGGGAAGATGCCTCGGAGAAGGGAATGGCAACCCACGCCAGTATTCTTGCCTGCAGAATCCCATGGACAGAGGAGCCTGGCAGGCTATAGTCCATGGGATCACAAAGAGTCAGACACGACTGTGTGACTTTCACTTCACAAAGTAACATTTTAAATGTATTTACCTTGGCTCCGCTTGCGGTGGCAGGGTCTGGGGAAGGGGTGGCAGGCTCCATGTCGGGCCGTGAAGGTGGCAAGAAGAAGCCCCTGAAGCAGCCAAAGAAGCAAGCCAAGGAGATGGATGAGGAAGATAAGGCATTCAAGCAAAAGCAGGAGGAGCAGGAGAAACTCCAGGAGCTAAAAGCAAAAGCCTTGGGGAAAGGCCCCCTGGCCACTGGTGGAATCAAGAAATCTGGCAAAAAGCACACGGCAGCAGCGTCCTCTTTGGACTTCAGGGATTCCCTGTGGGACTTGCCAGCTGGTACCCATCCCTGTGCCGCTGCGAATAACGCTTCGGAGAGCCAGAACTAGGACACTGCCGCTGAGATGAAGCTACTGCTCTTTTATTTGGTGGAACTTAGTCTGCACTTAACGAAGTATAATCTTGTGTTTTTACGAGACCAGAGACTTGGAGCAATTAAGATAAGCATCCAATATTTGGGTGACTATCTGAGGGAACCTACCAGTTACCTCAAAAAATTAAAGCCAGGTACTGAAAAAAAAAAAATGTATTTACCTTGGACACAGCAAGTCACTTCCAGTCTTAGGAGTTAATCCTACAGATCGACTCTACTATGGCCTGCCTTGTGTCCCCTCAAAATTCTTATGGCGAAGCCCTAGTCCCTTCGTGACTATCTTCAGAGATAGGGGCTTTAGGAGGTAATTAAGGTTCAATGAGGTCGCAAAGGTAGGGCCCTAATCTTGTGGGACTTCAGCCTGTTAAAAAGAGCAAGAAGGAAGGAAAGAAGAGGGAGAGAGAGAGAGGTAAGGACACAGTGAGAAGGCAGCGAGCTCTCACCGGAAATGGGGCTAATGGCACCTTGACCTCGGGCTCCTCAGCCCTCACAACTGTGAGCAAACAAGCTCCTACTGTTTAAGCCGCCCCGTCTACGGCTTTCGTTATGACAGCAAGAGCAGACTGGTACAGACTCCCGAGCGTCAGCGCAGACACATGCTGAAGAATTGTCAGCGCGGCTCCGCTTGTAACGGCAAAAAAACGGGAAGCAGCCCAAGTGCCCACCAACAGGAAACGAGAACTCTAACTCAATGGAAACACTGGGTACTGAGGTGCACGGTCAATTCCAGCCTTGCTATACAGTCAATTTCTGATTTTTTAGACCTAAAATTCCCCTTGACCTCTGGAAAACAGAATAGCCAAATGATTACTTATCTCATTCCTGACATTCCTGATTTTGTGTGATTGTGAGACTGTGTTGTCACCACCTCAAACCTAGACAGCCTGACAATGTCAATAATACCAAAGCCTGTCAGTCAGCCTGTCTATGAAGAGCATGTGGGACCATGTTCCCATATGGGAGCATATTCCCATATGGGAATCTCATGGGTCTTATGTTCTAAAACATTATTAGATGGGTGAAACAGGAATTTTTTTATATGTAAATGTAGGCATGCCTCAGATACTGCAGGTTCAGTTCCAGGTCACTGCAATAAAGTGACTATTCAATAAAGCAAGTCACACAAACTTTTCGGTTTCCCAGTATACATAAAAGTGCATTATGTTTACACCACACTGTAGGCTAACTGTGCAATAGCATTATGAGGCCTGCACTCCTCTGGGGACCAGAAACATCTCTCCTCCAAAGCTCTGGGGAAATCCATTCTTCAGGAATAATTCCATTTCTCTTGACACTTTCCTTGGACACTTCTCACGTAATTACCTTAATGGCTCTAGCTCTGGGAAACAAAAGCTAGGAAGACTAGTGGTTTTCAGGCAACTTTCACAGGCCTTCACTTTGTAAGGAAGCCTTACTTTTCTTTTCTTTTTTTTTTTTAGCCTTATTTTTCTTGACTGGGCTAAAGAAAGTAACAAACTGCAAGTAGAAACAAGAGAGTATCATAAAAACTCATGTTATAGAACTTTTTATTTTATTTTATTTTTTGGAAAGATATTTTATTTCCAATTAATTTTTGCACTGGTCAATGCTTTCTACAAATAACATCTTTAATACAGCTTACATATCCTCATTCACATATTCAATAATCACATAAGTTCATTATGTGAACAGCAGTGAAAACGTTTAATCATTGGATTCATGTTATAGAACTTTTTAAAAACCAAATTGGGACCATAACAAACACCTCCTGTTTAAAGTTAATATTATACAGCAGACACTTTTCACTGTAGACAACAGTCTTTAAAAACATGTACGTAATGACCGCATAGCATTCCCTTTCTTTGTAAGAAACTGAGAAAGGTGGAGAAGTCAAGGGGAAAATAGCCTCTCCAGGTGGCAGGCAGTGGCACCAACCGGAGAGAATAGGCTGGATAAAACCCATGAGCTGCAGAATCCAGGCTGGACCAGAGGTGCCCAGGCTGTCACCATTACTACAGTCTTCTCCCATACCCAGGCCAACTGAGTCAGAATCTGAGTGGGAGGGGGGCACATATTCATCTCTGTTTCTATGCAACACCTTGGGTGAATATAATGTGAAGTTGGAATTCAAAACCACTACTTTAGGAGCTTCCCTGGTGGTACAGGGGACAAGAATCTGCCTGCCAATGCAGAGGACTCAGGTTCGATCCCTGGTCCAGGAAGATTCCAAGCTCTGTGAGCGACGAAAGCTCGTGCACCACAACTCCTGGGCCCTTGTGCTGGAACCGCGGAAGCCCATGCACCGAGGGCCTGTGTCCCACTACAGCAGCCACTGCGGGACGCCCCAGTACCGCGAGGAGGAGCCCCTGCCCACCGCAACCAGAGAAAGCCCGCGCGGCCACGAAGACCCGCACAGCCAAAAGGTAAGATCAGTAACTTTTAAAACGCACCAAACACGGCTTTAAAGATTCAAATATTTTAGGGGAACGTGTAGGAACATAAAAACTGCTCTAAGTAATAAGAAAAAAATGGTTTCTCGTAACATTCAGGATAAATTTCAGATTTCTCATATTAATACTCAAGGCCCTTTCTGATTCTGAGCCCTCCTCTCCAGCCCCATTTCCTGCTCTCCCACACCCCAGGAGACCCCAATAACAGCATTCCCAACATGCCCTATGACTTCAGACCTGCGCGATTTGGCCCATATTCTCTCTCTTTAACATCCTTTCCCCGTTTCTTTGCTTCCGGAAAGCCTTCTTTCAGTCCCCAATTCTTAAGCAAATACAAAATCTGTCTTTTTAAAACTAAAACTGAAGGTTTGGGGGCTTTATTTATGCTTTCTAGCCATCTGTATTGTCAGTCTCACATCCAGGCTAGGGCCCCAAGCAAACATAGGCTATTGCCTTCCATAAGCCTTGTCTTCCAGTAACCACACTGAGAAAATGTTAAACATCAGAATGTGCTAATTTAGAGGTGACCCTTGAATGTTCTTTAAAGTTCATTTAAGCTCCAGAAATACGAGGCCAGTGCCTCTGAGCAGAAGAAATAATCAATTTTGCCTCCTGCAAACTTATTGTAAATACCTAACACACACATAAAACAAAGTCTCTACTAGAAAAGAGCTTTTGGTACATCATGTAATTCTTACTCATTTGAAATCTAATTTGACACATAAATTGCTTTTCCTCACTTTTGATCGATTTTTAGAAACACCATGAAATGAACATTGTTTTTCCATTTATTTCTCCCTGTTGAGAATGTCCCTACTTGAATAAAATGTGGGAAATTTTTTGATTTACTTCTCATAACTTAGTGGCCTACTTAAGAATATGTAAACCTGGGGACCAAATTAAATGAAAAGTTTAAAGACCCCTGAGAAATAGTCAGACCTTCTCTTGTATAAGCAATATACCTTCTTGTAAGAAAAAAAATCCTAAATATCTCTTAAATAAGTGTTCAATTTTTTTCTTCTCATTTTTTCTTCCAACCTTTTGAGGGATAGAAGAAATAAATACTTCTTTTCTAGAATGTTCTGACCTTTAAATTCTCTCTGTCCTATCTGTTCAGAATTGGTTTAAGGGAAATAAAAAATATTATCCTATTTAAAGAAAAAAATGACAGGTCTTACTTAGTACTAAAAAATCAACAATTGGCAGATTCTTTTATTTGCTTATTAAATGGTTATTAAGTACCTACCATCAGCCAGATAGGGAGATAAAAGTGTTAGTTGCTCAGTCATGCCTGACTCTTTGCATCCCCATGGACTGTAGCCCACCAGGCTCTTCTGTCCTTGGGATTTTCCAAGAAATGATACTGGCGTGGGCTGCCATGCCCTCCAGGGGCTCTCCCCGACCCAGGGATTGAACCCAGGTCTCCTGCATTGCAGGCGGATTCTTTCTTGTCTGAGCAACCAGGGAAGCCTGAAATAGGGAGCCAGGCACCCTGGAAAGAACACTGTGGTCAGGGTCAGTGATTTACTGATGAGCCCTGTCTTGGCAAATGTAAAGGGCAGGCCTCTGTTCTCAACTCATTCCTTCTCTCAGTGGATTTCACCCTCTTTCCTTCTCCAGAAACTTTCTTCCGTAGGCTCCTGAAGCCCCACGCTCTCCTGGTTTTCCTTCCACCCCCCGACCACGACTTTGCTGTTATCATTTGCTGGCTTACCTTTTTCCTGAGAGCTAACCGTTGGACCTTTCTTCTTCTCTATCCACATTCTCCTCCTAAATGATCTCCTCTAATCTTGTGGCTAAACACTGTCTAGATGCTAATGGCTCCCAAATCTGTATTCCCAGTCTCCTGTTTAATCTGAGATCTGGACTAGGTCCTATATCCAACTGCTCATGTGATACCTCCACTTGGATGTCCAACAGGGATTTCAAACAGAGCTATTCCCCACATGTCCCCACACAAAGCTGCTCCTACCCCAGTCTTTCCTATTCAGTAAAATGCATCATTTGCTTGAGCCAAAATCTAAATATTAGGGATTATGTTTATCTGTGTATAACAGAATCCAACTTAACCAAGGAGCAGTTTTTGTCTGCTTTCCCATAACGAGAGGACCAGAGGCAGGCGGACCAGGGCTGTGTGGTTAGTTGGTTCCTCTCAGCCAACAATGTCCCGGCTCCTCCTTTTTTCTTCTCTGTCCTCATGGTCACAAGATGGCAGCCCCTCCTCCAGCCTCACAGCTACATGCCAACGGAAAGAAAAGGATGAACAAGGTAAGGCACACAGCCTATATGGAAATAGCAGAAATTCCCAGAAATTCCTAGTAGCTCTCTGCTTATTTCTCATTGCCCAGAACTGTGTTACAAGCTCCACTTCAGATGCAAGAGAGGCTGGGGAATAAGACTTTCGAGCTCAGCACATTGCTACCCTGCACAAACCAGGGCTCTAGTATATGGAAGAAAGGTGGAGTGGATATCAGATAGGCAATAGCAGTGCCCACCCTATGGTCCTGGACTGTTCTCTTTCCTACGC